ATGCATCCTTTCACTATTATTTAAATAACAGTGAAAAATCCCATCTATATCAGATCCCAAATATTAAGCAAGCTGTACAATTATTTCAGATTTTTGTATATTATTGGTGCATGTGTTGTCTTTGAATTGCCAGCTTTTCGGACCTAGTGTTTGGAACCAAAACCCACCTACTCTTATTCTCAAGTTTCAAGTTAAATTAACTTGGAATGTTTTAGTTCATACTTCATTTTTTAAACATCATTAAGTCCAACCAATTTAAGAATAGAGTGTTTGCAAGCCACAGTTAGGAGTAAAATTTTCTTGCTGTAAAGTGATTGCTACCCTGCCTGGGGGCATTTGTAGAATAATCATGACTGATTGTGCTGGATCTTACATATTGCAGCATTAAAAACTAGGTGTGATCTTTCATGCATTTCTATTTCAAGGCACTGATTTAGAGGCATGGATTTTTAATGTAGGTAGACTGTGTAAGAACAGCCATATTGGGTCAGAAAAGGCTTTGTTCTCTGCCAACAGTGGGGATTCCTTAGGCATGTGAGTATAAAAACAGAAAATTATATACTGTCTCTGGTATAATGCATCAGTTTTCATTTATCAGCTGTTGGACCATTGAGAGTTAATTAATTATAATTAATAGATATTAATGAAATAGCTTTCAATAATTTAAGAAGTAGTTAAACTTACGGCATTTCTGGCATTTTCAACCATCTGTGATGTGTTTTCCATAGTCTAGTGACACATGAAAGAGAAAACTTCCCTTTCTTTCAGACTTCTACACAATATTAATTGGATGAAAGACTCAGAAATGTAGACAGGAGAAAGTTAAATTCTTGTGAATACTTGAGCATTTGCTACAGCTAAGGAGTGGGAGCAGGAAAGGGAAGGGTTAAATTTTTATCAAGCTTTTATGAAGTTATTTTTTTTAGTCAGTTAAGTGACATGCTCCCTCCATGTCTTGAGGTTTAGGGCATGTGTGCCAAACCAACCCTGTGCAGTGTGTCACAGCAGAAAAATTCCTCTTCTCAAAGCCCACTCCTGGCTACTTGCCTCATATCTATCTCCTGTTAACTCACTCCCCTTATGAGTAAGGGAATGCAGACTGAATTAATTGTTCTGAAGGTATGAGCCTGCCACAAGCTGGCTCTTTCACATTAATACTTTTCCTGTAATGTGGTGTGCAGGCATCTCCGCATGTTTACAGAGAAAGGGTTGTGATGTTTTGAAGAGAGATGGCAGTTGAAGTGACTTGTTCTGGTAGTGGTGGTCTTATTTAAGTCGTCATGCTTCTCTTGGGTGCATTAACAGTGGGGAAAGACTGGTTTCTGTGTATGTATGCTACATATAAAGTAAAGCTGGTAAGATTGTGTCAGTGCTGCCTACAGAGCCTGAACTACACATTTGCAATAATTGTCATTATATGGGAACAGAGTCCTTTTTTGCTAGTAGAATATATAGCTTGGCTTCTGACTAACACCGTATTTTTCTGTGTTATTCAACAGGTAATAACTTCTGTCAACTGGTAGGGAAAATTGCAGTGTTGTCCTTGGATGCTATGGTAGTATCATACAGTAATATGCATTAAAATATAATATAGTGGTAACACTGAAGTCAGTCAAAATCTGTACAAAAATTTGCTTGCAGCACTTAACACATGAAATTGGTGGAACTGCTGGGGCATAAAGTCACATACGTTAATCCAGTTAGGCTCGCCAGTGTTAGTTTCTTTCCAGCTAGTTACCTAAGTGTGTGTATTTACACCAACAAAAAATAAGTTTGCTTTTTAAAATGTGATGGTTATATTTTTGTTTGCAAGTCACAAAGCCAATTTAGCTCATTTAAAAACAAACAAACAAAAAAAAATCCCCAAAACTTTAAATTGACAAGATAAAATTAAATGGATTTACCATAGTCCTGGTAAGCATTATAAGACTGTTATCTTTCACGTGCTTATTTTCATTTCCTCTCACTCTTCAGTATTTTGCTATGTATGAACCACTGCACCTTGTTCTGGAGGAAGGATGTAGTCTGAGGAAATACCCCAAGAGACAAAGCTGGATAGACCTCTAAGACTGCTGCTGCCTCAATACCTGGTCTTTTTTACTCTGGCAACGTAGTATTTCTGATTATGCAAAACTGTGGTAAAAGCTATTTCTTTATGAAATCCTATTGTACTGGCCACCTTTAGCATTAGACTTTAACTCAGACTATGCTAAATCCTAATCCAGGCTAGGAAAGAAGAAATTGGAAAGATAGTTATCCTGTTGTAAAATATGAAAAGTAACATTCAACTCTTTATACTGTCTGAAGGACCTAGTTGGGATAGACACTGCAAAAACATTGAGTAGCCCTTATCCTAAACGGCTTGCTTAGATCGTTGCACATGCAGTTCTGGTTCCTTGCTTTAGAAGGAAATCAAATTCAAGGATGGTTATTTTTGTTGTTTTGGGGTGATAGGGGAAAGTTGAACCTCAAATCAGAGGAATTTGCTTACTCTTCTCCACCAGAGATAACCTTCATTGGACAAAATTGTCCTTATATTTTGCAGAAAGTTGCACTAAACCCCATTTGGTTTGGGGCAGGGGAGAGGTAGAGGAAAAAACCCAAACTCTTAGTAGCAACTCTTGATGTTTTTTATTGCAAAACCACTGATGACCTTATCAGTGTCTTGATCTAGTTGCATAGACAGCTGAATCTCTTAAAGATGAATTCTAATTTTTAATACTGAAATACTTTCTTTTGATGTTTTCGTAATTTATGATGGGGAGAAAGACAAATTCTTTTTGATGTACAGTAAAATCCCTTTACCTCTTATAAGGTGTCATTAGATGAAAGTTAGGTAGTTTCCTTTTTTTTAATTGGTTGAGAATGGAGAAAGGTAATTGCCGTGTGTTAAACCTGTTCCTATATGTGTCTTGTGATGTTAGTTAATATCAACAGTCAATAGTAAAATACTTATTCATGCAGCATAGCTCTGACTTGAAGTACTTTGAAAGCAAATTTCTTCCATAGTTCATGAGATTTTTATTTCTATGTAAGGGTGAGATGTGATCCTTTACTACCCTTTTTTGTGGTGTTGCTGTTACTTTAGCTAGAAAGTAAAATACTTCAGTAACTTACTGATCACAATCTGGCCATTTTTGTACACCTTTCTAGACAAAATGGCTACTAGAGCAACCATTTCAGTGTAGGAGAGAGAGAACCATTACAAAATCAACTGGTTATACTTGCAAAGACAGCAGGTCAAATGTTGGAATGAAGGACCAAATTAATTTACTAGCTATCTAGTAAATAGAGTCTAGAGTGGCCAGAAAGTGAAGCTGGATCCTCAGTCAAGATGGTGAAATAGAAAGGCCTGATGAATAAAAACTGAGACAATGAGCTATGGTAATGCACATGACCAATTGATAATGCCTTTAAGCTATTGTGTATTACTTTGAGTCAATTTCAGCAAATTCTTCAGCTTCAGGTATCTTTTTCTGTAGAAGACAGATTTATCTCATAACAAAGACTGAAATTCACTTAACAGGATATGCCTTTTTACAGCGCTTAGATTTTATAGTACCGTTCAGAACAGACTTTGAGATGCACAGAAATAAAAAAGTTTATTAAATTCAGCTCAGTAGATGATATAAGTATGAACAAAATAATTGTAACCTCTTAATGTTATTTTTCATTATAGTGTGGAGTTGATTTCTTTACCCCTGAATTATGTTTCTCAAAAAGATTTGTAATACTTGACTGATAAGCTCTGTTTATGCAGTACTAGAAGAAGCAACAGTGGTAGAAGATGGTTGGTGCAGCCTGAGAAATGACTCAGTATCACTTTATACAGCTCTACAGGAAACACTGCTTTTCTTGACTGATGGTTTTATGGCTGCAAATAAGTGCCTAATGATGTCTCCAAATTGTTGATGCATCTGAAAATAGAGGGAAAACTAATTCTGGTAAATTAAAGCAAAATACGGATGTTTTCTCAGCATAACCTGAGAAAAAGCAAGCAAAAAACCTCTTAAAAGGCTAGAGCAAAGACAATCTCGAGGGATTGTTAAAGCTGCTGCAAGTTGATGTCCAGTAGAATGTGACTATCATGATTCTTCTTTTTTTTCCTTTGTTTTCAGTGCATTGTTTAGTTTTGGCTTATAAAGTTCTAGGACTTGGGGTTGGCAGTCTTCAGGTGAGGAAAAGTCTTTGAGAGGGTAGTGAAAGTAAAGTGATTATATGTAGTGCAAAGGGAAAAGCATGATAAGCTTCATCACTATGCAATCTGAAAACTGTGGGAATTCAGCTAATTACATACAAATAACTCTGTTGCCTTGGTATGTTGCACACTACACAGGGCCACTTAGGCAGATAGTTATGCCCCACTGAGTTTACTTAATTTGACAGATTGTGTGAAACAAACCAGCAAGAAGAACGCATTTCGCTTAGTGAAAATTGTCTATACATACCACAGAATTCCTATTTTTTAATTTAAATCTTGATTCAGACCTCGAATCTGTTGAGAATAATTTGCTTTAGGTAACTTCTAATACTACTAGAGACTAGAATATTGACTTTTTTTTTTTCCTGATTTGCAAGTGCAGAGTATGAAGTATGTAAACCCGTGTAGTTCTTGATTCACAGGACTGACTTACCAGCCTTTGTTGGTGTTTCTGTTGCTGTAATGTCCAGAAAGTGTTAACTTCAGCAAAAAAACTGCTTTGCTGCTTCCCCTTATACTCACAAAACAGTTGAAATATTCAACATGTGAGTGATAGCATAAGTGATGTTTCAGTAAGGAGTAGAAGAAGTGTCTTTCTGCTTAATTTTTAACTGAAATTTGTAAGATCAGATTACTTGTTCATGTCTGAGGAGTTGATAATGGCAAACAATATGCTGCCTATTTAATAACTTTTTCTCAACAAAATTTTATTTTTATTTAAGGCTGTTGGTCTCTGCAGTATATTAAACATGTTTGTTGAATGTGGGATGTTTTTATTTTTTTCTCTCTGATTTTGCAGTTCGCTCCTTTGGTACAGAAGATAGACCAACTGATAGACCTATACCACCTCGTGATGAAGTCTTTGAGTATATTATATTCCGTGGCAGTGACATTAAAGACCTAACTGTCTGTGAGCCACCAAAGCCTCAGTGTTCTTTGCCGCAGGACCCTGCTATTGTTCAGGTAAGTCAAAAAATATTTTTAGATATTTGTTGCTGAAGATGTAACCTGGCAGCTTCAAGTGCTCTCCAGCCGAGTGTTAAAAAAATTAAAATGTTTGTTGCTGTAAAGTTTACAACCCAATATAAAGGACTGTGGAAAGATTTTCCTCTTTTGAATCATGTCTTTAACTGTGAAAATCAAGGTTGAAATCTAACTGTAGCACAATGCACTGGATACCAAAGCTTGCCAGTTTTTCAAAAACAGCTAAGGACTTTTGGTAGACCTTGATGCCTTTTTTTGAAAGTTGCTTGGCTTAGGAATACAAATATGCAAGACTTCTTGGAAAGATCAGACCCGGTGTAAGTTAAATTGAGTAGATGCTGAAACCTCCCCAAATTATTAGTTTTGTTTTCTTTTGGATTTTAATGTTCAATTTTTTCTGCTGACTATGACTTTAAAAGTGTTTCATCTAGCTATGTGTTTTTAAAAAGGCTTCATACTAAAGGACAGTTACTTGAAAAGCGAGTACTTGGTTGCTGAAGAGAAAGCAACTTAGATCTTGAAGCATTCAGGGTTAATTAATCTGTTATTTTGTAGTAAATGGACTGACAGGTATTTTTGATCTCTGAAATTTGTTGGATTTTTGATTGTGCTTGTGGGGTGTCTTAAAATCATCCCTGAGGGCAAGAGGGGAGCTCTTGGTTTAAATGGAACTTGATAATTCCATGTGTTACGTTTCTAATGTTCTGACTATTCCTTAAGATAAAATTATTGATACTTCCTTACAAAGTACCCTTGCAATCCTCTAAGGTCTCTTGCTAAATTTAGTGCAACTCTTTCTGTCAGTGGTAGTTGAGAGCTGTGAAATTGCATTACTGCTAACCCCAGTAATAGTAATAACGCCACCTGTATGTTTGGGTGATTCACTGTTCATGTGGTTTTTGAAACTTCAGGGAAAAAGATGCGACATTTTTCCAAGTTTGCCAACAAAAGCTTATATCTGTGTTTGACAAGAGTCCAGTATCTGAGGTTCTAGGGAAAGGATTGCAAAATTTTATGGTACAGTTTTCGCAAGTTTGTGATAGCGGAAGGGTAAAAGTGCTTTCTAAACTGCATACATACTTGTGAAAATGTTTTCTGCTAATTGTTGTCTGGTTTGAGTTTTCATGCAGAGTAGTGTGTGTAATTCATTATTTTTGTGCTGTCTTTGCTTCTGTGTTAAAGCAGATAAATTCACATTAAAAGGAACAACTTTATGACTGTTAAGGTCTTTTGTACATATTAGGCACAGTGGTGGTGTTAGGGTAAATTTAACAAATAGGTTTAGAGTTTCTGCATTTCTTGCCTTGCAGAACTATTTCCTACTTTTTGTGTAAACGTTAATTTCCACAAGTGTGCTTTGTCTTTTAGTCTTCACTAGGATCTTCAACTACATCTTCATTCCAGTCTGTGGGGTCCTATGGTCCTTTTGGCAGAATGCCTGCATACAGTCAGTTTAGTCCAAGCCCGCTGGTGGGGCAGCAGTTCGGCGCTGTTGGAGTTGGTATGTTCTTTTTTATTATTTGGTGTTTTCCTACAAGTTGCATGTGTGTGCATAGAAGGTAATCAGCGCTTAATTCCATCAACATCTAAGGGCAGATCCAAAGTCTTCAGTCTGTATTAGTCCCACAGTTTAGCTCAAAAGTAGTGAGCTTTTCTTTGCAGCTCAAAGCAAAGCAATTACGATTGAGAACTAAACGCCCTGTCTCAGAGGTACAAGTGGGGAAAGGTTCCTGTATTTATGAATTCATTCTGCCATGTATATTAATTATATTCATCATATATTCATTATATTTCACAAGTGGTAGGGGCTGTTCCTCCACAAAAGCCCCATAGCTGTACTGTGGACATCTGGTATCCCAAGCTGACTAGGTAGTGTGTGCCTTAACCAAGTGGTTAGATTATTCAGCAGTCCATGTGCCAGCACAGTCCTCCACCTATTCGTGAGATATTAGCTTGGCATGAAGTACACACTGGAAGTATTTGTGAGCTGCATGGGTTAGTTACCCCTTTATACTGCCAGTGTTCTCCAAGACTCACCAACCAGCTTTCATTCCTCCCTTAAATTTTTTTATTTCACCATTTAGTTTTTCACATAGGAACTTATGTTCTTGTAACGGTTATGGCAACAGTGTTACTCCTGGTACTGAAAATGTTAGCCATGTGAAAGGAAGGCTGTAGAATTGGCCATAACTTGATATCATTTAATAAGATGTGACAATCATATTTTTGTTTGAAAAATGTGAAGTGGAAATATATACCAATAACCTTTGTTTATTACTCTGTAAGATGCTGTCATGACTATGTTGTGTTAATACTTGTGATACTAAAGTTAGCAGTGCTCTTTTATTTAGATTAAAAGCATCGAGATACTGTAGTCTGAACAATTTACTACGAATACTTACATTACATTAAACTTAGTGTGTGGCAGACTTATCTATGTTCTAGAATAACTGCTCAATATGGCTCACTAATCACTTAGTGCTAATTTAAAAAAAAAATAGAGAAAAGTCTAAACCAGGTTTGACAACTATATTTCTTTCAAAGCAGGAGGTTCTTTAACATCTTTTGGAACAGACTCTTCAGCCAGTGCTAACATATCCCAAAGCACTGCAGTTGGTTCTGCATTTACAACAGATGCAAGATCACTGAAAACACAGATGTCTCAAGGTAAATAGTTTTGAACAACTCTTTGATCTTTTTTTGACCAATTGTGCCCCCCTGATTTCAGTGGTTGCCACAAGTGCTAACGAAACAGTTGAATTCTGTCATGAAAACACTTGGTATTAAAGCCGGAAAGCACTGAGAGACTTTGTACTGGCTCTTTAAGTGCGTTTTCCTACATCTTGGTATGCTGATAGGTAACTGTTCGCAACACCTTTGTTGCTATCCTTAAAGCATCTGTATTGAGCAATAGGACTTATTTCAGTTGAATAATGTTAGCAGATAGGTGCATATGGAAATTCAATATCTAGTTTTATCGATAGCATGACAAAACTCAAGATACTTCATGATGATTGAATTGTGAAGTCCTTTCAGCCTACAATTTTTAAATCATTCCTAACAGTATTTTTTTTGTTAATGTATATTTACATAAATAATATTAACAGCAGACCTGGATGCCTGTAGATACAGTGACATGACAGTCAAGTCAGCTCAATAGTAATAGAAACTGTATGGGTAGTTTGTGTAATATTGGAAATAGAAAGTGGAAGCAAAAAGGAAAATCTTGGTGCTTTTTTGAGTGGCAAAGAAAAAAGCAGCTCAATGTTGAGCAACTTCAGCCTTGCTTTTCATGCAGATACGTTAATTGCTCCTCAAAATCTAAAAGGCATTATTTCCTACTCTTCCACTCTTTGTTGCTGCGAGTAAAAAATGTGTGCTAAGGTACATTCCTAATGCTATTTTTAAGTTTATGCAATCATGTTAAAAGGCAAAACACTTTATTTAGAGCAAACAGGGTGGGTTTTTTTTTTCCTAAATTCTAGTTGAGGTTTGCACACCAATTAGGACTGCTTTCTAGGATTAGCTGAGTGGATTACCAAAAATAGGTTCTACTTTGTTATATTAATTGAAGGGGAGGAAAAAGTATGCTGAGCATTTACTGTTTCTCTGTTGAAAGAGTAGCTTGGTTTTCTGTAAGTGAAATTAAAACCAGTATGATTTTTGGACTTAATGTCTGGCATATGCTCCAGATGAACATACATTCTGCTATAAAACTTCCTGTGAGGCACCAACAAGTTTTTTCTGTCCGTGTTTGTTTTCAAAAATATTTGTCATATTTGTAGATTTTTAAGTGTGGTGTGGTTCGGTGTGTGGGGGTGCATGCGTGTTTGGTTTTTCTCTTCTTTTGTTTAACTTTTTTATGGGATACAACATTATTCTTTTCTTTTACTTACTGGAACTTGAGTCTTATTCTAATTTCTTAGTGGATTTACCTATATGGCATCGTAAACTTGTCTGGCCAGATCAAATGTCTCCATTCTAAGCATGCTTCTGGCTCCAGTCACTCATGCTGCAAATTGAAATGTATGAACAGCACTTTTGTGGGGAAGCTTTCATAGCTCCTTCATCTACATTATGCCTGTCACTAACCATAACTATTCATTTTTTTTTTTTTGTGGTGATCATACAACAGAGTGTGCTAGATGAAATGAAATTTCAGTATCGTAACTATCTCTGCCTTTGGGAGCACTTTCCTCTTGGCTTTCCAGGGAGGTGGAAGGAGTATTTTTACCTCAAATCAATCAAAAAAAAAAAACTTCATTCCACAGCTAAATGCACATCATGGGTGGGTTGGTAGGGATTAATTGTCCTACCCATTTTTTTCTTTTAGACTGGGGGAAGGGGAATTGCTAAATATCCTTCATTCTGGATTAGTGGATCTGAGGGTGCAGAAATATTTATTTCTTCTTTGGACACAGCTGTCTTGACTGGTAAGGCAGATAAACCTGTCAGTCTAGAGTGGTTGAGAGCAGTAACTCAAATTTGTGGATGAGAAATAACTCTTTAGGTTTTGGTTTTGTTTTGGTTTTTTTCCCCAGGTCGTTCAAGCCCTCAGATAGATCATTTGAGAAGGAGCCCCACCATGGAACAAGCAGTACAAACAGCTTCAGCCCATTTGCCTACTGCAGCACCAGTTGGGAGGCGAAGTCCTGTACCAGCCAGACCTTTGGTGTCTGCTAGCCAGAAATCGTTAGAGAATCAGGAGCACAGACGAGGTAGCTTTGGATGATTTTCATACCGCTTATTTTCTTCCATACACATATGAAGTGCTCTTTTTAAGGGCAACATATAGGAATTTTCCTGCTGTCCTTTACTAGTAGACTGGTCAGCAGAGACCTGGAATATATATCTTTTTCAAGTCAAGCATATATTCTAATTTTTGTTTCTTTTACGAAGTTAAACTTGTGGTTTACTTTTATAGGTTTGGATTTTTTTTTAAATCTGAACAATATAACTATATACAAAAGTACGATCAAAAATACCTAATTGGATAAACAAATAATTTTTTTATTTCCAACTTTAGCCGAAGCACACAAGGTTTCAAGATCAGAAAATGAGCTCAGAAATGAAAACAAACGACAAATTGGTAAATCTTGTTTTCAGAAATAGCTATCATTGTTTTCAGACTTCATTAATTTTTTTCTAAAGTCTGCTAAAATACAGCATTGTTTATAGTTTGCAAAGTGCTAGGATTTTGTTTCTAACATCCAGAAATCTTGCAGCTCAGATTACAGTAATAAAGAATTTATGTATTTAGAATGCTTTCCCATAATTGTTTCTATTGGGTAACAGTGACTTCGCATTGGGTCAGAATAATTCAGGCACAAAAAGAGCAACCAGAAGAGATTTTCTCTTTAATGTTGACTATATTAAGCAATTTGAATAAAAATGCAAAACCAAGCCGTATTCATGGATTTAGAAATATAATAGCATGAAATAAAGCCTGTTACCTTTTTACAAAATACGTTGCTGAAAAGCTGCTAACATTTTAACTGTTCTTCAGAAAGCTTTTATTGATTTCTAGAAAGTCTGTTAGTACCCAAGTTTAGTACTAGTGTACTTTCTGTGTCACTGCTGTAATTATTGTGAGTGAATTCACAAATTACAAGCTGCTCTGACAGGACTTTTAACAACAGAAATGCAGAAAGAGGATGTATGAAGTCCCAACCTGTTACCCCAGGAATTTAAAAAACAAAAATCACCCAAAAAAACCCCAGCCCCCACCACCCTGAAAGAAAAAAACAAAACCAAACAGAACTTGCCTCTCTTCAGTTCCAGGTGGACCCTCAGCACGGAGAGGCCGTGGAGGTCACAGAGGGGGCCGAGGAAGATTTGGTATTAGGAGGGATGGTCCGATGAAGTTTGAGAAGGACTTTGACTTTGAAAGTGCAAATGCACAATTCAACAAGGAAGAAATTGATAGAGAATTTCATAATAAACTTAAACTAAAAGGTAAGCCCATCTTTGCTTTAGATTTGAGCATGGGAAAATTGCGTCCTGCTGTTTTAATGCTACCTTGGAGAACAGCTTTTAAAAGACATATCCTACTAAGTCTTGTTTACAGTCATTAAAAAAAAATAAATTAAAAAAAATCAGTGAACAAGTAAACTGGGATCATCTATTTAATTAACTTAATACTTGGTCAATATTTGACTTTTGAAAGAATTTTAACTAGCAAACATCATACATCATGTTCTAACAAGTCTGTTGGTTAAAAATCCGGATGACTTGAGCAGAAGTCCCAGAAGTGAGTTTACTTTTGAGTTCTGGAAAGGATGCAATGGAAGAAATCCTGTATTTTATGTTTTCAATTATTAACAGACCAAAAGCAATCCAAAAACATGAGTTTAGGATCAGAACTTTGCTGGAGGATGCACAAGAGTTTCAATTTAAGAAAGTTTCTAGCATTTCTTTACTTTTACCCTTTTCCGGAGAAATACAGGAGTAGTTCAGATCCATACTGCCAGCACTTTAGTTTTGTTTTCTAGCAGGCTTCTGTTTTAATTACCTCATTCTCTTGTGACCAGCCACCTGTTCATTACACTAAGTCTACTATTTTTGGACAAAATTGTTACAGGTTAAAACAGGGAGTTCCCTATTTCAGTAAGTGATTGGCTAAAAGCTGGGAAACAAAAGATAGGAATAAATGGTCACATTTCAGTGTAGAGAAAAGCCACCAGTAGAGTCCTGTAGGATTTGGTCTCTGGTGCTTGCCTCTTTTTCTGGATAATTTTTAAATGACTTGACAGTTTGCCGTTGATACTGATTTTTTCAGAATAATGAAGAGGAAAGGGAAAGCTAACCATAAAGAGCTATAGAAACATTTAATGAGACAGAGTGGTAATTTTTGTGTGTTGTAGAAAGGTTGAGCTGGTTATCTGAAGTTTATGTGCGAGATCATGAGATTTAAGCTGTAAGCGTTTATGAATGAGACTTAAAGATCATAATAGCTCATTCTGTTGAACCATCAGCTTCTTTTTCAGTACCAGTCAAAACAGTAAGTTGGACTTCAGGCATTATGAGGAAAGAAAATATATCATAAAGTCAGTTCATGGCATAATACCTTGAATGCTGGCCCTGTGTGTCAAAGGAGATAACAGCAAAGTCAGAAGACAAAGGAGAAGGGTAATGGGGATGAGCAAAAACATGGAGTGGCTTTTATATGAGGAATGACTGAGGGGGGCTTTTAAGTTTGGAAAGGAGGTGGCAGGAGGTTATAAAATAGATGGCTATCAAATCCATTCTACCACAGGTTTTTTTGTTAATTAAACCCACAGAGAATATAGAGGATATAGAACCTCCAAACAGCAGCAGTCAAACACTCTAATTTGTGTCAAATTATTTGACTTCCGCGTGCAATTTTGGAGAGGTTTTTGTGGTTTTGCACATTCGGTATAGTTCGTGTCTGTCTGGGAATAAGTTAACAGTGCTGTTTTGTTTAGTATGATGGTGTGGAAGGCTTCTGTTTACTTTTGTTTTCCAGAAGATAAACTTGAGAAACCGGAGAAGCCTGTAAATGGGGAAGACAAAGGTGACTCAGGTGTTGATACCCAAAATAGCGAAGGGAATGCAGATGAGGAAGATCCGCTTGGACCCAACTGCTACTATGACAAAACCAAATCCTTCTTTGATAACATCTCCTGTGATGACAATAGGTATGACCTGCAAGGGGAAGCTTGTTAGTCGGCTTAATGCATGTTTATGTCATAAGGTAGTGACAGTACTACTCATTACAATCAGCTCTGAATTGAAAGTGAGTAAAGTTTATTTCCACATGCAGTGGGCAAAAATAAAACGGGAATATGAAGCACAAGATTTCTTTGTGGGCAAGTGCAATACATTAATAGGAAGACACTTTTAAGTGTTGTTTCAGAACGGTGCTTCTAGAACTGAGTGTACCTGCTCTAGAATCTGCTTTCCGGGTTTACCAAGTGGGTTTTTTTGTTTTGCTACTAAATTACCACTTTAGTTAAATCAATTATGACTATGCTTTGGTAATAGTTTCTAAGTAGATAATGTAACTGTCTTGGCCGGTAGTGTTTGAATGGGAAGATAGCATTTCAGGAAAATTAAAGCTTATCTTTTGCTGTTGCCTTTTTATTAGATAAGACAGTGCGGATTGCTGACCTATTTTGAATTACAGGGGGGGAGGGGGGATTGTTTTGTTGTGCTGACAGCTAGATAAGTAACATCTCTAACTGCAAACTCTTACTTTCTGTTTCCTGTTTCAAATTGCAGACAGGTTTTATTTATTTATTTTATTACACGATGTGTGCAGAGGATACAGACTGTGTCTTTCTATATGGGAAGCTCTTACAGCATTATTAATACATAATTAATGATACTGTAACACATCCCTTCTCGTTGAGTTAAATGAATTGCGACAGACATATAGGTTCTTGCAGAAGGGATAATTTGTAGATTTACAATGTGATTAATGTATCATTTTTCATTTTGAGAGCTTTCTGGTGATTCTAAGCCAGGCAATCTTCCTTTGGAAGTGTGTTTTAAAACAATCCTTGTTCCTTTTGTGTGGCAGAGAACGGCGACCCACCTGGGCTGAGGAAAGAAGATTAAATGCCGAGACCTTCGGAATACCACTGCGTCCCAATCGTGGCCGTGGAGGGTACAGAGGCAGAGGGGGGATTGGCTTCCGAGGTGGAAGAGGACGAGGAGGTGGAAGAGGTGGCTTCACTGCCCCCCGAGGATTTCGTGGCGGATTCAGAGGAGGTCGTGGAGGCAGGGAGTTTGCTGACTTTGAATATAGGGTAAAATAGATTTAATCTTCTTATGACCTGATCTGCTGCTCTTAGAAACTAGTGGTAAAAAAAACCTCCTGCTTTTAGATGTGATGTTGAACTAGGATGTCTTTAATAGTATTTTGCAGATACTCTGAGCTACTTAATTGAAAGTCTATTAATGCTGAAATTTTAGTTACATAGCATCATTTTACTATCAACAGCAATCAAACTAAAAGCTACCTTTCTTCACATGCCCTAAATATTTGTTCTGTAGCTGGCACTGAGGAGGAAAAAACAAAAGGTAAAAGTTCTGCAGATTTAACACAAGTGTGCATTTCCTAAGCAATATTGTAAAATGTAAAGATTGAGACGGAGTAATTGAACTTGCTTCTAGTGTGCAACAAAGTCTTTTGAATTCTTTGTGAATGAGTTGGCACAAAGCTTATGGATGCCTAAGATTCTGTATAACCCCTAAAATGGAGTAATTGAAGTTATTTAAGTACAATGGTGAGCTCTTGCAAAAAAGGAGAGAAAAAATACTTGAGTTCTGTAAGGTCCTGTTAAATGTTTTGGTTTTTTTTTAAACTATCACTTTACATAGCTGTATCTAACAGCTGTTGGGAATGCTAAGGCAGGATTGACTTTTTTCAGTCAGTCATTCAGTAACAATGGACTGTGGGAGATAGAGATCTTGTCTTTTGAAGCTTTTATGCCCTGTTCATTGCATAGAGAAAATAAGTACTACTACTTGAGTTAAATATGAATGAAGCTTAAAGTTCCTTAGTCATTATGCACAAGCAACCATGTAAGTCTGCTAACTGAAGTAACCTGATGTACAAACGTGCTTTCATCATCATGTAAGCATAGAAATAGTAATTTGTTCTGCAAGAGCTATGATGGCTAAAAAGCAGACTCTTCCTTTACAGTCAAGTTACGCAATTTGTTGCTTTTGCAACGTTGTTAAGACATCCATTTCTCTGTTTCCTATTGAAGAACTTAACTCTTCTTCCTATCAGTCATTCAGAGGAAGGACAAAATTAGTTGTCAGCCACAGCTAGTAAAGTCGTGTATTCTGTGGCAGTGGTATCTTGGGGGCACTCCTCTTTATGAAAGCTTATCGATCATACAGATTTTGTAAATCAGCAGAGCTCAGTTGCTTGCAAAACCAAAATATTTTCATAATTTCAGTGTGAGCCATTCTTGGCATTAAGCATGTATATTCAACTTGAACATTAGCTTGTTAAGGAACAGAAATAATACTGGGATACTGTTTAGAATCAATAATAAATATAATTAACCAGATTGGTGGAAGTCATTTTAGGCCTTTACAGTTCTGACTGGGACCGAAGAACTTTCTCTGGTAGTGTAGTGCATGAGCAGTTACGGGTGGTTTGGTTTGTGGTTTGTTCTTTGTTTTTCAACACAAAATCTGTGTTTTCTGTTTGAGGATTTTAAATATATTTATTTTTAAAAAAGAGGGGAGCATTTTTTTGTCACAAGATTTGTGACTGTCCTTCAGATATTCCTTCATTAGTTTGCAACAGTTAGTCCTGTGATTTAAAGAAATTTTTGGTGGCTGAGCATGAATTGAAATGAGGGGTTGAAGATCAAAGATTTGGATTTCTGAATGAAAGAATTTCACAGCCTTCCACTAAGTAGGAGGCAGTGTAAAGACCAAGGATTTGTACCACACCTGTAGTCAACATGATGACCTGCTTCCACGCGTGCCAGACTGAGGCTGTTTTGCCCAGATGCTGACCTGGTGACAGAGGGAGGTGTCTCTTCTGATTTCAGCAGATGGGAAGTAGCCATCACAGCACACCTTCTCCCAGTGCTGCTGCCCATATTAATTTGTGATTTTTGTTTTGCGAAACAAATTTTAACATGCTGCTGTTGTTCCCTCTAGAAAGACAACAAAGTTGCTGCATAGTCTACAAGACAGCTGAACCCGGGTGAGCGTCTAGATCTTCTTGATCCAGAGAATTAGTTTCAAGTCTCTGCAACGAATGAAGTTAATTTGCTGTATACTTGTCACCAGCACTGGGATTTAACTATTTAATTTCAAAGGGGTGTAATGCAGTTACTTTTGAAAAATGGCCATCTTTGAAAACAGTGAGCATTAAATATATTTGAGACAGAAGGATAAGTAATTTCTTATGTATAGTTAATTATAAAGCAGTACTTCGATGGAGTTTAAGTATTTTTTCATCACTGAAAGGATTTTTCTTATTACTAAACTGTATTTGATAATTGCTTCAAGTTGTAAGGACAATTGTATGCAGAAGGCCGTCGATACTGTGAGTGTTTTGATCCACTGAAGGTTGTTTTTTGGAAATCCTGTAATATCCCTTTTGAGATAGTTGTACTTTTATCAACTAGGGTGCTGGACAGTAGAAAACTTGCTTTGTCAGTCAAATATGTACACACAGTAAATACTGTTTCTTAGGCAAAGGAAACTTTTTATATAGTTGTAAAATTCCATTATATCCCATTGCCAAAGAAACAAATTACAGACTTTGTATAGCTGTATAAAAAGCAACTAATTTTTTAAAGAATAAACATTTTTAAGTCGGCAAACATACTGTGTTATTGCAAAAGTTGATATGCTGAAGAACACTGAATTAGTTGGGTTTTTTCTTTAGCAGCTTTTCAGGCTTAAATGTTTGATTTTATATTTGGACAATAATGAAGATTTGCAAATGTTCTCCCATTATGCAAAACTGGATGATACACTCTTCACTTCTCTTGCAAGAATTTGATTTTGTAGTTTCTGGCATATCACAGGATTTGACCAAATTAAGGAGATATTTTCAAATAAGGAGAAGAGAAATTTTCATATGTCAAAATTTGCAATTAATTTTACTTAGTGATAAATATTAACTTTTTTTAATAATGGACCAGGCACACGAGTTAGTGATTCTCCTGCAACGCCTGGGACAGAAGTATGTCTCCATTTGTCAGTTCTTGAGATGTTAACTTTGTTGTAATACCTGTAGGCATAAGCAATTTAAAGAATTCTTAGTGTTTGAAGTTGTTTGCATTTTGATAGACCATAGGTTGGAGACGTTGAGATTCTGGTTCTAAGACCATGAGGTCACAAATGACATAGTATGGACTTTTTGCCAATTCTGAATGACTGGTGACAACTTTTTTTGATGTGCTGAAATAGCAACCTGGTCATTTGTGTCTGTGTATGTATATGAAGGCCACAGGAATAAAGGGATCCAAAGATGAAAACATTTTGATCTAATTTTCTGATTTATTTTTTTTTTTACTTCAAAATGTTCAGTGGTGATAAAGATGTGGAAAACTGCACTGTTGGAAAATTGGAATATTTAAAAGTGGTTGATAGAATCTTAATTTTATAACTTTTGTATAGCACTACAAGGAAGTATTTTGTAATTGGTTTCCTTATTAAGGTCAAGTATTTGGCAACCGTAGAAGTTAGATAATATTGTTTAGTAATGTTTTTTGCATGTTAACAACGCCTTTTGGGATCCACAAATCATGGTTCTGAACAACTGGTGAGGTTTCTGACCGTAGCAGCGAGTGCTGTCCTGTTGCAATAACTCTGTACGCTGCCTGAGGTGTCCCGGGCTGTTGAACACGATGAATTGTAAATACCCGTGAGCCGTGCTGCCGGGGATGAACTTCAGCCTTTCCCCCGGGGCGGCGGCGTGGCAGACCTTCAGCGTACCTTGCTCCACGACATGAGGGTTTCTTTTTTCTTTTTTTTT